ACATTATTCCATTCTTATTAGACTTTCTTACTGCTCAGATTTTCTCCTGGAAGCTTTTAGGTTTAAAATGTCTCTCCCAAAAGATGCCTTACTTCTCAAAAAACACTTACAGTTCAAAACACCAGGAGTGAGGGATGAATGGTCCCTGTAGCCATGAGCTTAAATCTTTATCACTCTGAACTGAAAATAAATTCAAAGAGAGTCTGCATTTTTTTGTTTAGGCCGATATGAGATGGCTTTTGGTCAGAGATGTTCAAAAAGACTGCACCAATACTGAAAGATATCTTCTTTCCTCCCCAACAAAAGGTCTCTGAGTTCAAGGACTTCATGGCACCTTCACTTCCAATGCATCTTTGCCTTGTTACTTTCTGCTCTGTACCATGCCTTAGAGGGGAAATGCCAGTGTGCTGTAAGAAACTATGAAGAATTTTGTGACTTTTTAATTCAGTGTGAAGCGAACAAGCCCTGATGTGCACCTGCTCTCCTAAAAAAGCAGAAATCCTGAAAAGACAAAAAAAAAAGAGATGGATAAAATGAAATCTATTTCCTTTTAAAGATGGAGCAGACCTTGGTGGCTTAGCACAATATTGTCTCAATTTTTCTTTACCTCTCACTGCAACGGGGATAAATACACCACAGACAGCTATGACCTCAAACACTTCATAACAGAAGCAATGTAAGCATCACACTTTTCAATATCCTCAGGAAAGACTGAGCACTCTGTACTTGGTTGTATTTGCACAGTCAGACAAATATACATACTAAGAAGAAAAGAAAAAAAAATTTAGTTAACAGGATTTGTAGTAGGCAGACAGTTCCTGCCTGCCAAAAGTCCTGCACGCACAATGCTACCAGAAAAATTGCTTCCTTCCACAGATTCTAATTTCTGTTCCATAAGGCATTGCGAACATTGGTTTTGCAGGAACAGCTTTGTCTTGAAGGACTTGAAGAAGGGAATACTTTGCAGGACTTGTGAAGCAGACACTGCTCTGACTTGAATAGACTGAGGATGTCTCTCCTTGTACAGGATGTGTCATCTAAGGACAACGTCTAGGTACCATACAAAAGGATTACAAGTCCGAGACAACTTGATATGCAACAGTGGAGACATTAGTGATGCTGGCACTGAAGTGAGGGCTAGAAGAAAGCAGTCTCTTAATAGGAGATGGTGCTAATGGGCCTTCTTCCGTCATCTGGACAGCCCATATTGCTGTGCTCAACTCAAGACCGTACAACGTCTTAATGTCCTACTGAAAGCACAGAATACGTGAGGTTTTCTGTGTTATCTGCTAATCTCAGCTCTCACAGATACATCCTGAACTGCACATTGAACCAGGACCAGAGCAGCTACAGGGTGGACACGTTCACAGGATTGCTAAGGCTGTAGGAAGCCTCCCAATATCTCTAGCAAAAAAGAAAACACCTCCTTAAAGCAGATTCAGCAAGATGGTTAAGTTCACTTGTATCTCCAAAAGCATCTTCACTTGGCACTGTCTCCTCAGCCACCAAATGGAAAGAAGGCTAAACTCTATATTTTTTTGGACAACCCTATTTCTTGTGTGTACTCTCTGATATCCCAGGTAGTACCAGAGCATTTATTTCCAAAGAAAGAGTTACTGAAGGATAGAAATAAAAAATACAGGGAGACGGAAGGCATTAATGCCAAGTTCACTTAAGCACACATATTCTTCAAATACTAGAGATGAGTGATAATGAGACATTAAGGCTCAGTCCTTCAGACGAAGGTTCATCACTTTATACAGAGAGTCCCAGGGTGTGTATGTGTGGTGTGTGCATAATACGCTTACACAACTGTGTTCTGTCTAAAACATACTGCTGGCATCAATAGTCATCCCAGTTTGTCATCTTTCAAAATAGAGTCATTAATTCTCTTTTTAAGAGCAGGCACAAGTTGCAGTGAGCTGCCTAACCACTGCTTTCAGAACTCAAGTCTGAATGAGCTTGGCCTACAAGACTGTAACAAATAAACTGCTTTCTAAATGGAGGATATTCCTCAAAAGAGGTTTTTTGCTCAGATAACTAAGACGAATATCCCATTTACATGGTAATTAAGCTACACGATTCCCACATGTGCTAAAATTACAAAAACTTGTGCTTTACAGTGCACACAGCAATAAATCTTATAATTAAGAAAGGCAAGATCACATTTCTTGGAGAAGAGTCTTTTACAGATTTTTAATACTCCTTATACAGAGATCCTACACAGCTGGAGCCAGACCTCAGCTTTCCTAGTCCAAAGCCTGTGTGACACAGAGCACTAGTTTAACAGTGACCAGCTGAATTAGTTACTGAAAGTGTCAGACATTTTGTGCATTGAACCAACTTGAAAAATATTTGAAAACTACTCACAGGTGCACTATCTAGTCTACAGACTAGACATCAGTGGAGTCTTTAGATAGAATCAGAATCCTTAAGGTCAGAAAACACCTCCAAGATCATTGAGTCCAACTGTTAACCCAGCCCTGCCATGTTCATCACTAATGTGTCACATCCACATGTCTTTTGAACCATTCCAGGGATGGTGATTCCACTACTTTCCTGATGGTGATTTCCACCACTTATTCCAGTGCTTGACAATCCTTTCAGTGAAGAAATTTTTCACAGCCACTCCTCATGTGATTTGCTCTATAGACCCTTCCCCAGCTCCACTGCCCATCTCTCGATGCGCTCCACCACTTCACTGTTGTTTCTACAGTGAGAGGTCCAAAAGAACACAGGATTTGAGAGTATAGCCTCACCAGTGCTGAGTACAGGGGAAGAATCACCTCCCAAGCCCTGCTGGACACACTATTTCTGATACAGACCAGGATGCCTTTGACCTTTATGGCCATCTGGGCACACAATGTCTTCTGTTCAGCCACTGTCAACCGGCACCCCTAGGTCCTTTTTCTGCTGGTCAGCTTTCCAGCCACTCTGCCCCAAGCCTGGAGTATTGCATGGGATTGTTGGGACCTGAGTACAGGACCTGGCACAATTGCATTCAAATCTTCTGTTATCTCTAATTTTTCACCTATATTTGTTATAACTGATTACGCCATAATAAAAGCTTGCAGAACCTACAATTTTCAAAAATTACTAGGAGGAACACACTGCACAAATACTTTCTTGTTCAGTCTTTCCCCAGCTCATCCACTGGCTTAGGATCAATTTCCTTATTTATTTTCTTTGAACTGAGCAACTTAACTTTATGAAATCAATTCTGTAAATTTAACTTCTCTGAAGATTGTACCCCAGATGCGTAAAAAGTGTAACATGATTTGGACTACAAAACCTCCAAACACATATCCTTTCTTCTTCCCAGCAAAAGCACAGTTATTGGAGTTTTCAGACAAGGAGGGAGCACTGGCCGTTTCAGTGAGTGAAAAAGTTTCAATCTCCACGGTGCCAGTGAGGCTCACACCTTTCCATGATGAGGAGAATTTCTGAAGACCAACCCAACACTTTCCCACATCACGGGCTTTTCTCTTCCCCTTCAGTGCACCTCCAATGATATAGCAAATTCATCCTTAAGACAGTAATTTTTGCCAATTGTAAATCATTTTTTTTCCTTTTTTAAAATCTGCCTTGGTTTTGTGATCATACCTACTTTATGATCTAGTATATCATATCTACTATATGATCATAACTACTAGAGATCGTGTCTTGTATACATCTATCTGTATCATATGGTATGGACACATAAATTTAAAGCTGTCCAGAGAAAAGCGTTTGAATATGGTATTTAAATCTTCACTAGATCACATATAACTTTTTTGTGTGTGTGTGATATATTTCACAAAAATGATGGTGTTTTATTCCTTTTATTAAATCAGCTTTATCTTATAAATATCCTCTACCATTTCAGGCACACTAAGTGTGAAATTAACATCTCCCTTAATTCAGTAACCATCAAACGTGGAAAGAGGTTTGATCAGCAAATTGAGTACTTTCTCCATACAAATTAACAAACGTGAACATACAAAAACGATCATAAAGGTCTCAGATCAGAGAGGTTTTGCCCACTTATCAAAAAACTGCAGCTCCAGCAGGCTGTTCCCACCTACAGTAAGGAATAATGGAGACTGGCCTTCAGCTCCAGCTCTCTAAGCAACATATCTGAAAAAAAATATATTAAATGCTTAAAGTCCTAATGCATTTCCAAAATATTCTTATTACTCCCTTAACTATCTGAAGTACAGATGAATGAAATTTCCAGCAGCAGTTTCATTTCCATTTTTCAAAACTTAGCTAGATTAAAAAAACAAAACAAAACCCAGAACCTATTATTCCACATACCAACTTCAAAGCACACATTTGCAGAAATAACTCAGAAATATTTAGACACTAAAAATCCCTAAGAAACAAAAGAGAAATTATAAAGTACTTTAAAAAAAAAAAATTGGTTGCTCATTTCCTTTCTACTTTTACGAGAAAATCTGTAGTACCTGTCAGGTTTCATTTTAGGAGGGATTCGGATTACTACTTAAAGGTGTCTCTGGCAGATACAGACATTTCATCATTGCATTGTCTCACTGAAAGGGCAGTATTGCACATGAGGTGTACCATATCTTCATCATGAATGTGCTGTAATGGCTAACGAGAAAAATTGTAAATTATTCACTTAAGCAAAACCAACTAATATATTAAGGGGATGACATATTCTGATAAATCAAGTCATTTTTCCTTCTCTTTCATTTCCTCTAAAACTTCAAAGCAATCTAATGTTGTTTATGCATAAAATTTAATCCTTTCACCAATCTGTAGTTTGATTGAATTTGCATACTCTATTTCCTACAAGTCAATGTGAAGAGAGCCTCCTGTAATTGAAACCATTTCCCCTCCAGTCCTCCTATCTTTGTTGCGGTATTTTCTATTAGTAGCTCTATTATGCCTAATATCCGTAATGTTGGCAGATTAGAATTTTCACTTAATGCAACCTGTATTTATAAACCACTAGGATGAAAAAAGAACAAATATAAGAAAGAGGAAATAATAATTACCTGTCTTTGATGCCACACAGATCAATGTGTAAATCACTAAAATTCCCCAGGGAGCCTTGCTGAACTAAAATGAGGTCCTTGGGCTGGTTATCAATAAAGATGAGCCTCATACAGCCTTGAAAAGCAGTAATGGGATTTAAACACTGGGAATCAGTGAAATTGTCAGGGCACCCTGTGGGAAAAAGAGAAGAGGCAGAGAAGAATATTGGAATGTTCAACTATTTCTGCTGGGATTTCATAATGCAAGAACTCATAGGCTTATTATTCCAAAGGTTTTTATTCCTTGTGCTATGCAACCTCCTGTGTTATAAATCCAGTTAGGGGGAAAAAAATAGAGAGCAGCCAGCTACTGGAAATATCAGAGTATCAGGTTTTCACAAGTGGTAAGCAAAATCAAAATGTGATTTTTTTTTCATCTTTAAACTCCACAGCTGATAGCAACTAACTCACATTGAAAAAGTTGTACAAAATGTAAAATCATTATGCAGTAAATTCTGTTACTGAAGCAATGCATGCAGTAAAAGGATGAAATCCTGCGGGCAGCAAGGAAGCCATTTGTATCTGAGCTTCCTCGATATTTAGACAACTCTGAGATCCAAAGCCTCCTGTGCATCCTCACTTAGTGCTGTACCCTTAGAGGATAGAACCCTTAGAGGGTTCATCAAGATCAGACCCTCACTACAGTAAACACTACATAGAAATGTATGATATAAAAATACAGTTAATTACACTACTGTTACCTAAATTAATGTTTGCACTCCAAAAAAAGAAGATAGTATGTTTCACAACTGTTCTTTCCATTTTAAAAACTAAACCTATATTCATTTTGAACTAAACCTATATTCATTTCTACGAAAGCACTATACCTAAACATCTCTGTAGATCTGAGCCATATGTCATCTAAGCTCTGAAGTCTAGATTAGCTGAGCCTGATCAGAACTGTGATATCTACAGGAATATTGATAATACTAATATTTCTAGGCCCTTTTAACAAGAAAAAGACCTCAAAAACAAACCCCTGAAAAATCCCGCTTGTGGTTAATAAAGTTTTGTAGATTTTGCATATTTGGCAGCCATATGTGGGTATCCATTGACTACCACAAGTTATCTACTTTTACAGCTGCGCTAGCAGTTCTGCTTGTTCTCTCTCTGTCAGGCTTAACCAACACCCTTCAATCTGCCCCCAGTGCTGTATACATTGTAGCTCAATAGGCTGTCCAAAATCAGTCATTTCATTTGCTCTTAGCTGCAGAGTTCTCCCTGCACCTGGGGAGAACTCAATGGCGACCACCTGAGGATCTGCATCAACAGAAACCTGTCTGAGCAACCTACCTCCAAAATAGTAGCTGTTCCCAGAGTAGATCCTTGAGACAGTGGTTGCATGGCTGGCAGTGGCAGCATTGTTATCCAGTGTCAGAGTAATGCGATGTCTTCTGGCATTGATGTTAACAGAATGCCAAAGCCCGTCGTGGAGATTGGCACCTGGCAAAAAACAAGTACAAAACATGAAAAAAGGGGTGCAGGAGACAACTGTGGTCTTCAAACCTCCTTTTGCTTCCAGCTGGTGACCACAAATACGCAGTTGATCAAAAAAAGAGGGAGAACTCTGAGCTGAAAGGAGCTCATTACCTCTGGAAACAGACTGGCATAGAAGTGCCAAAGAAAGGGAAAGCTTTTGATAGTATTTGAGTAGGTCATCTCCATTTTAATCTAACCTGGTGCTACAAGGACTCATCAAGCTAGTCAGATCCTTCACCTTTGTGGTAGCACATCGGTATCATGTTGTGTGTGTTTGTGTCTATCTTCAGTCTGTTGATAAATGCTTATAGGTCTCAGGAGCGTGCAGAGATCTCTGTTGAGCTTCTGGTACTAAACACTTGCTTGAGGTCACAGAGGATTACATTCAGTGATACAGTCATACCCCGTTCTCAGGCTCCATATGAAACCTGACAGTCTCCTGTAGGTATCAGCAGGATTTGTGTTTCTTAAAACCCTTCAGCACTAATGCAGCACACAGTACTATTAAGGGATGTACTTTGCACCTTTCTACATTGGATTTCAACATGGATCTTCTGAGAGCTGGGATTGTTTCTCTGACCAGAAAAAGGTAAAGGAGAGATAACAACATAGGGCAGCCTCTTTTTCTTCTACAGACTTGTACAAAGTGATCCAGATATGACCTCTCCATTTCCTTATTCTGAAAATCAGTGTTGCACCACGTGGCTCTTGAAACAGCACCACAAAACTACAGAGAAACTCCATATCCACTACTCTGATAGCCATAAAAATCAGTGGACAAGCTTCTGAGCTCACACACAGTGGTGCAGATCAAAAGTAACCTAATTACAGTTCAAAATATGCTAATGTCAGGCTGGAGTCACCGAGATCAGGTACAGAGAACCAGTATTTACTCCCCTCCCTAACAGAATATTTTTGTTAATGTAGCTTTCAGAGAAAACAAACAAGCACTTAGTAGCACAAAGAGGTGTGGGAACAGTTCAAAACACAATAAAAAAAAATGTGGGTGTTATTTGCATGAAAAGCCATTCCATTATGAAGTCGAAAATGAGACTATTTCCTCAGTAATGGCTGTTAACACATGCACAATTGCCATAGAATTAGAGGCTGGTTTTACATAAAAAATGTATGATTTTTCAACTAGAATGAGTCCATTTTGAAGTGAAATATGCTGCTGAAGTTCAGAACGATGACAAAACAAAATAGGTCCCATTTGGGGCAAAAATAGGTTCATTCTTGAGCAAGCATGAGTTTATTGTGAGTACCTGACATCTGCAGAACATGGCATTTAGCACTTTCTGCATATTTTCCCTGTGTAAATAAGCAGTTTAGCCATGTTTTGGATAGAACCAAAGGCTGGGCTCAGGTTCATGATTTCAGAATTACATAAAAACATTCACACCCAAACAAATATTGACATTGTCTCAGCTTTGTCAACAATTTAATTAGGACTGCAATAATAGCTGAAACCTCAGTTTTCAGTGTTCAGTTGCAGCAAGCTACGGCTGTGGCAATCTACATGAATACTAATAGATGCAGGGCTGCCTCATTTTCTATCATAAAGGGGAATGAAACACGCATATAGAAATACAGCTCTGCTTTGACAACTCTGTCAGTTTTTATCTCTGCTTCTTTTAATAGATACATCTATTCTCTTTTAGTCTTTACAGGGGATATTTTAATATTGAATGTTTTTAAACGTCTGCTCTCTTTTATATAATAACAGTTATTATTATAATAATTATATTGTTATATACACTTACTGATAATAGATATTATTATTATTATTATTATTATTATTATTATTATTATTATTATTATTATTATTATTATTAAGTTTCATCTGAGTTCCATTAGTCCACCTTTGGCAACTGGTATTCAAGCAATGCAAAAAACTAATTTCCCAGTCTCCCCCACAACATGCCTCCATAGCAGCAAGGGGATATACAGAGGCCCTGGACTAGAAACATTTCTGTTTGAGATGCCAGCATAGCTTATGTAAGTCACATGGTAGCTGGACCACTCTGGTCTTACCTTTGTTGTACATCTGAAATTGTTTCCCTGATGTCTCTGTAATGCGATGCAAAGGTGTTCTGGTAAGTTTACAAGCAGTTTCCCCACAATTTTAAATTAAAGAGGCAACCCTATTTGTTCCTCTTTCATCCCACCCGCTGCACTGTAAAAAACAACTAGCAAAATGGCTAAGGAAGTGTAAGGAGAAGAAGCCCATGCTCAGTCTCTCTTCTGAGTGTAGCACAAAGGGAGAGTGTAAAGCTACGCTCAGAGGAAGAAAATCAGCCTTGAGGCTGCCTTAACTTGTGCTGGAGAAAGGTGCAGTGGCTGAGCTGCCTCCCAGCTGACTACTAAAGACATATTGAGTCTAGAGATTTCAGGATGCCAATTTTCCATGCTTAGATCAAGCTGTACAGGGTGGCTCTACCACTGCAAATCAAAAGAAAACTTAAATGAGAAAGGAAGATTGGGTGCTTCCATATTTCTTGATCTCTTCATCCTGTGGAGATGAAACTTTGTGTTTTAGAGGGAGACAAGTGAAAGTAAACAAAAAATAAGCACCTTCACTGATTTCCACTGGGTTCTCAGTCTCTTTCTGAATAAGTAATGTCAATCTCCCACCATGGAGGTAAACCAAGAGCGGTCCAGAATTTTCAGACAATTCAGTGAACAGAAGTAAGCCATCTTTGTTCCATGTCCGAAACTGGAAGCTGACTGACAAACCATCAATTTGAGGAGTGCCAGGTAGTAGCAAGTAGCTTCGACTGGTGCTCACAAAGGTGATGGGAACAATTTGTGGTTCCGAGCAAGAAAAGGTCACATTACCCTGCAAACAATAAAAATCAAACATAATCAGCAGGACTTTTTTTTTCAGTCATTCCAAAGCATCTTTATTTAAATAAGCTCACTGGATTTCTAATGGCCCTCAAGGCTGAAATAGGTATTGTTATTCAGACAATCTCCAGGAATCATTAGGAAATGTATCTGTCCATGCTGGCAAAACACATCTAACTTCAAAATTTTACTTTCATTCCAAATAGGAAAGATCAAAAAATCAAAACCTTAGTTCTTAGAAGGATCTAAATGTGTCTAAATGTCCCTTATCAACACCATGCCTTAGTTGATTACGTCAGTCATCCAGCCCTGAAATCAATGGTGCTATTTGCCCAGAAGAGCAGCACATTTACTCAAAGCAGTCAGCAGTATCTGTACCAGCATGTATCACTGCTGTTTGTGGAAGAAACAACTCCATTTTGCTCAGCCATTGTAGATTACTCCAACCAGGTCACCCAAGATATGTAATAAAACCATAACAACATATAAAGCCAGGATGCATTTAAGGAGCTATGTCTTTCAAAGCCACTCCAGGATATCGTTGCAGCCACCTTGATTGTTGCAGCCACCTTGCTTTGAACTAGGCTGCTCTGTAAAATACTAACTGTAATCTGACAAAAACATTGGAGTGTAAGGCTTTCTCCATGATAACGCTTCTCATCAGAGCTCATACCTCACTCTAGCAAGATAATTATAACCAACAGCACCTGATGGATGTGCAGGAAGTTGCACAGTGCTTGGGGAATTCCTCTCTGCAATCTCAGACAGCTGATGGAACTGTTCCCTATCACTTTCAAATGTCTTTCCAGTTTGTACTTTAAAATGGAAAATAAAGTGTCAGAAATAGATGAAGTTATCACTGGATGAAACAGCCCTTGATAGATACTTATCTATATGGAGTTATTTACATATTACCTGCCCTGTGAGATTGAGATTTAGCAATGACAAAAGGAATCCATGGATATACTATATTAGAATGAGTTTTGAGATACAATCCAAAACTTATCCAAACTCTACTCCACATCAGCCATGTGGGAAGTAGGACAGGAATTTGCTCTCAGCCTTTAAAGTTTCTACTACCTGGTGGGTTTTGCCTGCATAAGAGTTGCCACAAACTTTTTTTTGCTATTGTTGTTGTTATATCTCCACCTCAATTTTCAATCAAATGCATGCTAAATTACAGAAAACAAAGACAGTCAATCACAGCATTATAAATAAATACAGTTAATCTGCTCCAGACCTTTTTAAGTTTAGACACTTAAAATGGCAGTTACTATTGTCCTTTGGAATTTTAGACCTTTGCAGTGATTTCAGTACTCTACATGAAGTTTTAAGACATATATTGATCATAGAATGGTTTGGGTTTGAAGGGACCTTAAAGGTCTTCTTATTCCAATCCTCCTTCCCCTAGACTGGGTTGCTCAAAGCCCCATCCAATGTGGCCTTGAACACTTCCAGAAATGGGTATTCACAAATTCTCTGTGAAAACTTTTCCAGTATCTCATCACCCTCACAGTAAAGAATTCAGATCCGATTTTTGTCTCAAAGCTCTTTCCAAATTTTTACCTACCTGCAGAAAAAGCTATGCTTAGACTCATTTAATGGTGCCAAAGAAGGCAAATGATAAGATGAAAAAACATTTTGCAGTCCACATCAAACTTTCAGATGACCTTAAAACAACCCAATAAAGACTTTGTGTAGTTAATATTCTTCCAGCTGTTTGCAGCAGCACCGTAGCGAAATATCCGTGATGCATAAGCATATACCCAAATATAAGGTAATGTTTCTGTCTGTCTTTTTAACATGAGATTCTGAACACATGCAACCAGTCCTAAGTTCATGGGTTGCCTTCACACTTTGAAAAACTCAGCAAGACTCTAGTCATTCACAGTATCTAGCAATTCATGCACAGAAATCCTATCCTGAGACATGATCAGCAAAGAGTGTTGACTCCATGGCCAGTGCTCAGGCATATGGACAGGAGCTACACATCTCTTCCCTTGCTTAACCTGGTGACACTTCAAGCTCTGTAGCCTCTCCATTGACTAAACTTAAGCAGAGAGATTCCACCTTCCACAAGAACAAGCAGGTGGAAACGTATAGAAGTGGTACTGCAATATTCTGTGCATGTGGGATTAAAGGTACATTTTTGGGATAGACAAGGGGTGTGTCTACCTTTTGGGGGAGTTCTTTTCAGAAGATATTTTAGTTGTTCTTATTCAAAAATTGAGATCCCCACGATGTAAAGACCTTAACTAATTGCACTCAGAGCTAAAAACCAGCCAGTGTTTTTGGGAAAAAAAAAAAAAAAGAAAAGAAAAAAAGTTAAATAAAGCAATTGATGCCATGGAAACTTAAATCAGTTGAACTGACTCATTTAGGAGGGAAACACCTTCTAAAAGCAGTATTCTAGAGCAAAACCAGATGATGTAGCTAATATACACCAATAATAGCTGCTGACATCCTTACTCTGACCAATGCTGTCTACCTTCCTAGAGACAATAACATGAAAATTCGATTAAGAAATATCCAAGTGCTGATTTGAAAAACTTTTGTCCACTGAGGTGGGATAGGTCGCCTTTACAAAAACTGTTAAATTTACACTGAATTTTATTCTCAAATTAATTATTTCAGCAGGTCTAAGTCAGAAAAGTAAACAGCTCCCTTTAAACCTGCATCTGATCATGAGCATTTTGCTTTAATTGGCAGCAGTTCTGGAACTCTCCAGGGTATATGCCAGATTTCTGGCAGACACTTGATTTTATAATTGAACCCAGTTTAACTGAAAAGTTAAAGCTCATTGGCTAGGAAATGGGATAAGAACAGTCTAATCCCTAGAGACAACAAAGGAGATGCTCAGCTCCACTCAGCTGCTGCAAACTCTAGCTATCATGTGGCATTCGAGAATTCCATTGAGTCCAGCCTCAGACTGATTAACGACTCCTCTAACAAGCAGTGAAATCTTTCCAAAAGAGTTCTTATTGTTCTTACGAGAGAAAATTTCTGAACCTAGAAATGCAATGGAGTTATTTACAATTATGGCTGCCATGGAACTTGTCTCAAGAAAAGAGTGGAACCACTCCGGACTTCTGCAGGTAAGGTACAGTTTTAGAGATAGTTCTTGTTCAAGTAAGGTGTGGAATCAACAGGCAACATCATGTTACAGGATTTTAAGGAAGACTCAGAGCCTTTCCTATTAAAAGCGAATGGAATAACACAGTTGCTAAGTGATGAGGATAAAAGTGGAGTACATTAGAAGATCCTCTGAGCCATAAACCTCATCCAAAACTGACTGGAGCCTTTCCAGTGACTTCTGTGGGACTTCAATAAAACCTATATAACTTTAATGAACCATTTCAGTCTTTTCTGGCCTTTCTTCATGTAGTATTATGTACTGTTCAATGAAGAGAGAAGACAACACCATAGTCAGGGCAATTGGTATCAAGTTTCTTATGCATCCTCCTTGCTCTCACGGAATACTAATCAAAAATAAGATGCACTTGGGAAATTATTCAAACTGACAGCTGCACTGAAATCCTCAGCACTTAGCCTACCAGAGGATCCAGGCCAAGATCACAGCTTGAAAATAAAGAACAATAAATGAGTATTTCTGAGCTCTTCTACCTGCAGGTTAGAGCATCAAATGGGCACTTAACTTTTGTCATTAATCACTCCATGGATACTGTCCAATAAAAAGGATATCTTGCTTTCTGCAGAAGATTAGAAAGGAAGATTTCATATGACAGGTAAGGGGACTAAAATCCCAGGCCTGGCTGAGATACAAATGTGGTAAACTGGCAAGAATATTTCCAGCTCAGAAATTGGAGGAGTATTTCTAGCTGTGAAGAGACTGAGTTTGCAGATGAATTTGCAAGCAAGGTCACAGAGGAAAAAAGGTGACCTCTGATGCAATTTTAAAGGATAAGATGAAAAACTGTCATTCGACTCTGAGCAACTGGATTTTGAGAATGAGGGAGGTCCCTTCATATCCTGTTTTTAAATTAACCATCTCAAGCAGAACAGATGTCAGGAAACCCACATAGATTTCAAATACCTTTCAAGACCTTGCTGAGCACTGAATGAAAAGCAAATCAAAGTGAGATCCCATCTCCAGCCTTCTGAAATACTATTGCAAACTGCCTTCAAAAACGATATGGGAGCACCAAAGTGCAGTGTTACTTGAATTAGGAGTAGTCCACTGAGTGAGCAACCAGTCCATTCCAAGAGCACGGCCCCATACTTTTAGAGAAGTTCCTATATTGAAGTGGATTCCTCTTTCACTAACCAAAATTTAATTAGAAAATAATTATGAAATAAAGCTTTCCTGATCCAGGTTTCATTGAAAGTAATACAGCCCTGTGATAATCAGTCTGACAGAGAATTGTCCTATTCTCCACTTACTGTAGGTATCACGAATGCCAATAAAATTCTAATTGTTTATTACATTAATTGCCTTAAGTTGCTTACACTAAGATAATGTTCCTAATGTGGAAAAAATAGCACTTAGCAAAGAAAAAAGAAAGAAAAGGTGGCTTCAAAAAACCTGAAACATTTTGACTGTGAGAGAATCAGGGATTAGGTGCTTGGCTAGATGTTTATGGGTGTTCTTTATCTCAGAGTCCTAAGCTGACTGTGTCACTGGCCAGAAGCAGAACAAAGCATTTTACCATTTTTATGCCCATAGACAGTAACTGCATGTTATTGTTCCATTACATGGCACAATAGTTAAGAGATGCTGACAAAAGACGAGAGCAAATATAGAGATAATTTGGAAAAATCACATTGTTTCCCTCAAAGAGAAGGGGAAAAAAAAAAAAGAAAACAGGAGGAAACAGTAAAAAAAAGTGACCACTTAATATTTTCCCTTTGTTGTGGATTGACCTTGTCTGAAAGCCAGGTGCCCACCAAGCCACTCTATCACTGCCCTCCTCATGGGGCAGGGGGAGAAAATAAAGATGGAAAAAAACCTCTTGGGTCAGGATAAAGGCAGTT